TGAGAGCTCCTGAGAAAGCTCATAAACACGAACTCCCCGTCCTGACTGAGAATACATCTCTGATAGTGCGCTCCATAGCTTCGGAACAGAGCTATGAAATTGGTGGATCCTGCAAACAGATGGCTCCATCAAGCCAAATAACCATCCAAGAATGACGCAGTTCTCAAAGAACCACGCAGAATATCCAGGGTCGGCATCAGTTGGCTTTGGGTGAGATCCCGTCAGCCAACCAAGCTTCCCTACACGGCCTAAGAAAAGCTGGAATGAGCGTGACCACTCAGCGAAGTTACGACCATTCAACAATTGTGCCGTAACTTTTTGAGAGATCATGCCCGGTAATGCTGGTAATGCAACTGTGCTAGTAGGTACTGTATACTGGTCAAACATAAAAGTGGAAGTACCCATAGATGTCTCAACGGTAGAGGTGTCAACAGTAGGGTTCTCAAGTCCCTCAGTAGTAGCCATATCAACAACAATACTAGGGCACCCGTGACAGAAAAATAACTCTAAGATAAATAGAGGAATAAAATAAGGGAGAACAATATACCTTCAGTCGAACAGTAGCGACAAATAAAGAAGGTCCAAAAAGCTCCCAAATAATCAGGTCACGGTACCCAGAAATCCAAAATATATAAATAAGTGATCTACTGCATCAAGGGTAGATCATCAGATAAGAAGATTCATCCCCTCTTTAAAAGGTTGGAAAAAGAAGGTAGTGGCGCAAATAAATGGCAACACTACGACAAAAAACGTGGCGCACGAAGGTAAAACACGAAGCTGCAAGGAAGAGTGCGATTTGGCGGTGGACTGGTTCACTAGAGTGGGTATTAGGCTGGTTGGGCAGTGGGTTGGTTGGGCTTTGGGTTTTTGGTTCGTTTGGGCTTTGGTTGGGCTTTGCTTATTTTATTGAGTTGGTGATGGTTTGCTGGGCTGATTTATGTTGATTTTTTGGCACTGAAACAAAGGCAGTCAGTGATGGGTTTGTCGGTGTGGTCTGGTTGTTGATGGTATATATTGGCTGTCGGTGTGGGTAATGTTGGCTGGGCAGTCGGTGGTTATAGGTGGTCTGGGCAGTGGGCTTAGTGAAGTATGTTGTTTCGGCACGGAGACGACTTCGTTGGTTCGGTTGTTGTGGCTGTCAGTTTTTCGGCACTGGTTTGGCCGTCGGTGTAGGTTAGTTGCTATGTTGCTGTTGGTGGGTATGATGTTTCAGTGCTACTAGGTATGGTTTGGCAGTCCGTCTGTTGTTGCAGGCTGTGTGTCGATGTTGAAGGTGATGGAGGTTGTGCCGATGTTTAGCGGGGGGGCTAGGGTTAGGGTTAGGCTTTGATACCAACTTGAAATACAACGTGAATGAAAAAGGGATACAAACTAAGTGTAGAGTCCCTGTATATATAGTCAATGAGAGTTACCATAAGGACAAAAAGGTAAAAAAGGAAAACTTAATAAAACCCTAATAAACTAGGCTGTTGCTATATCTCCAACAGTAGGCAAATTGCCGAACCACGTAAATACTGTCTTGTGCGTGTGATTGTTTTTCTTTGGCGTGTGATTTCTCTAGTTTTTGTTTCTCATAGGTTTAGAAATTTCGTGCAAATTTCCTAACAGATCGTGTATTGTTATAGTGGTTGGCTTTTAACATCAGTATATTGTCTTTCTTTCTTCCAGACCAGCTTGAACATGGCATGTCCACTCAGAGGCTTGTTTTTTCCTTGGGTAAATCTGCCACAGAAGCTGCACATTGCTTCACATTATCTGAACTTGAAGACGCTACAAAGAATTTTGAGAAGAAAATTGGTTCAGGAGGTTTTGGGGTTGTATACTATGGAAAACTGAAAGATGGAAAGGAAATTGCAGTGAAAGTTCTGACCAGTAATTCCTACCAGGGCAAGCGGGAATTTTCTAATGAGGTAACATTCTTTACTAATTTATTGAGCCCCTCCATTTTTTTTCCTGCTTCTTGTATTTGTTGAATGCTCAATTGTGACTGTTTGCAAGTGCTACCATCTGTTTCTATACTTTAACTGCTGTCGGCAATTCAAAATCTTGAGTGGTAATGATGAAATGTAAAACAGCAGCATTAGATTTTGGCGACAGACATGGAACTGGAATTTATACATAATTGTCGCTTTGGGGGTAACCAATAAAATTGGAACGATTCGGAAAAGATTAGTGTGACCCCTAGAAATGGTCTATTACTATTACTTAATAAAATAAGACAAATGTCCGGTATGAGATTGAATTCTTTTCTATTAGATGCTGATGCTTGTGAACTAACCTTTGCTGCAATTTGACCCAGGTCACTCTTCTTTCAAGGATACATCACAGAAACTTGGTACAGTTTCTAGGTTATTGTCAAGAAGAAGGAAAAAGCATACTTGTTTATGAGTTCATGCATAATGGAACTCTCAAAGAACGTCTCTATGGTAATGACTCTCTTTCTCTCCCACCCCACCCCCAAAAAATAATCCAAAAAACAAAAGAAACACTGAAAAAAAAGGAAACATTTAGTGTGATCTTGCTCAATTACATATATATTTTGGTAGGACCATTAACACTTGAACAAAGAATTAGTTGGATCAAGCGCCTGGAGATTGCTGAAGATGCTGCAAAAGGTGTGTAAATTAGCGAAAGAATTGTCAAGTTGATTTTACAGAGAAGCCTCTTTTACTTCAGATGAATTACTAGAATTCTTTTGCTCTCATGCTTGTTACAGGTATTGAGTACCTTCATACTGGCTGTGTTCCATCCATCATCCATAGGGATTTGAAAACCAGCAATATACTTCTTGATAAGGACGTCAGGGCAAAGGTTTCAGATTTTGGTCTCTCAAAACTAGCAGTAGATGGAGCTTCCCACGTGTCAAGCATAGTTCGAGGCACTGTTGGCTATCTTGATCCTGAGTAAGCCGTTTTCTCATACTCCTCAATCCCTCTTTTTTGGCTTAAGATCAAGCAAGAGAAGATGTTTGGAAATTTAGTGGTAATGGTACTAGTGGTACTTCCTAGGTTACTACTGTCTCCATAGGAAGATGATCTGAGAAACATGATTTCATCTCTGTATCTTTCACATCAACCAGAAATCGTAGATATATTAGACTTCAGATACCAATCCATGCTTAAACATGCAAAAACAAAAGGGGGGATACACCAAACATTGTAACATGGTTATTGTTGCTATGCTCTGAACTTTTGGAGGATTGATGGGGACTCATAGCTCAACCACATTGATAAACCAAGGCGGTTGGGCAAACTAAGTTTTCTCTTTGAAAATGGAGCAAATACAAACAGACAAATCATATGGTGGGGCTTACACGTTAACTAGTGAAACAATTTCTCGCCAATAGGATTGATTATTTGCCCAAAGCAATGGTAGAGTAAGCAAAATATGATCTATGTATGAGCATGACAGTTCTCAAATTGATGAACTGATTGCACAATGTTGGGGATGTTGGTTTTGGTACAAAAAAAAGCTCATGGTGAGAAAACAAAGCTGCCTATTTTATAAACTGTTCTTTCACCTGGAATTCGTGCATTTTTTTTGGATTAAATGTTTTGTCAAAAAGGAAGATACATATCTTTTTTGACGGGAAATAGGAGTGTCCATCATTAAATTAGAGAATTTAAGTTTGGTGGAAATTAAGCTAATTGTGTCTTTGATTTCTTCCTGGTCTGGAAAAAAATGCCCTTCAAAAAAAAAAATAGCACAGAAGGATCTCATAGGTTCAAATTGGTTAAAGGTTCACTAGGAAGTTTAAGGAACATGGCCTAACATCCAGTACTTATTTGCATCAAATTCTTCACATGGGTTTAATTAAACTTGCTTTCAATCACAGAGGATTACTTCAGCAACATCAACTTAGACTACTGTGTATAAATATGGTGCAGTTAGATGCCTGCAGCGTGTAGACGGCCTTTCGAAACTTTGACGTTATGTTTGCACTTAGTACTTGGGCAGTGATATCAAATTATATTTTGATTTGAATTCCGCTCTCTTGTTAAACAGGTATTACATATCCCAGCAATTAACAGACAAGAGTGATGTGTATAGTTTCGGGGTCATCCTTCTTGAGCTGATATCTGGTCAAGAAGCGATATCTAATGAAAGCTTTGGCACTAACTGTCGTAATATAGTCCAGTGGGTAAGTTCATTTAACCCGAAAAGGCTCAATCTTTTAACCTTCTTATTGCCAACTATGAATCCCAAAAGTCTGATTGATCATTTATTTACCTGAGCAATCAGTGGCTTTCGAATCATTGTGGTGACCGATTAATATACATTGAGAATTATGTTTACGTATCTTTTTCTTATTCTTTTTTTTTTTTTTCAAAATTTTGTTTTTGTGTGTCTATATAAAATTGAATTATCTGAATCATGGTATTGTTGGCATCACTAGAATCGTGACGGATATGACATTGGAAAAATCCACGGCCGCTTGATATAGAAGTGACAAGTTTTCCTCAGGTTTTTTTTTTTTGTTTTTGTTATTAATGTATTATAACCTGCTTATCTTATCACAGGCAAAGTTACATATTGAGAGTGGGGACATTCAAGGAATCATCGACCCCTCACTACGCAACAAATATGACATGCAATCAATGTGGAAGATAGCCGAAAAAGCTTTGATGTGTGTTCAACCTCATGGGAGTATGAGGCCATCAATCTCAGAGATCATTAAGGAAATCCAAGATGCAATCTCAATTGAAAGGGAAGCAGAAGCAGTAAGAGAAGGCAACTCTGATGATATATCAAGGCAATCTGTTCATTCTTGCCTGAACATAGGTTCACTGGACCTGGCTGCAAGTGAGCATTATTTGTCTGTCGATGACTCCCTCACAAAGCCAACTGCTCGATAGTTGTCTACATTGTGAACTAGCAAATCCTTAATGTTCATATTATTTCAAACAAGTTAAGATAACACGTCTGGGACTCCTAATTGTGATGTTGAAAGGCAAAATCTTTGATGCTATGAAGCTGCAAATTTTATGCTCTCCCTTCTGAGAATTTATCTGTACCTTCTGCTTAGTGGTCTTTTTGTTGGGCTTATTTCGACAGGAGATACAGAGAACCGAAGATCCTCTGCTGCCGTTTTGTTAAAAAGAACAACACCGACGTTGTCGTTTTGATCAACAACACCTATACTGTTAAAAATTAACAACAAATGAGCCGGACCCGACACAGAGAGGCAGGTCCAATTTGTTTTCTCGAGTGGCATGTCTATCTATATAATAAAACAGCTCATATTTTAAATTTTATTTCAGTCATATTTTTCTCCCCAAAACCATCACCAATCATTTATCTCATCCATCATCCCTCTGTCATACTCAAACGTCAAATCACATCACTAATTTTTATCACATGTTTAATTATTTATATATTTCTGCTCTAAAAATATCACATAACTCATTTTTATCATATGTTTATTTATTTAATATTTGGTTAATTTGTAGTTAATATAATTTTTATTTTAAATATTATTCATATATAATAGTATACACATGTTAAAAAAATTTAATATAATGAGATCAATTTTTTAGGCGCTCGAATTTTATATTTTATCGTGCTTTTAGACACAGGTTATAACTTGTATCGATACGGTACGGGTATTCTATTGACAATGCATTGGCTTTTGTAACTATCACTAGTGAGAATCTCGCGGGCAAGACAAGCTAGTCAAAGTTCATATTTATCATATTATATTTTTAAAACAAATCTTGGGTTTCTTTTTCAATTTCTCAATAATGTTGGTTATTAATTAAATAAATGAATCAACATTCAATAACAATAGAATTTGTATAGTATTTATTTTTCCTTGTTTTTCTTGGTATACCGATACTATGCTTCCATCTATATAATCATATATATAATAATATTACCTTTATTAGTACTTGCGGTTCTACACGTAACTCATAAAAATTTGTTTTGGCAATGTGCTTCTTGCTTATTCTTGCATTTTTAACAATTTGACAAAAATAGTGAACCATATGCAAAAAAAAATCTTAACATGTGATTTTTAAACAAGACAATGAACCTGAAACGCCATTCATGCACTAAGACATTTTATTTTTTTGATTATATCCATATTGTGAACCATATGCAAAACAAAAATATTCACATGTACTAAGGCATTTTGTGTGTTTTTTTTTTTAATTATATCCAAACTATGAACGATTTGCAAAAAAAATACTCACATGCAATTTATTAACAAAACAGTGAACTAGAAATATTATTCATACAGTATTGCTCTGTTTTATAAGAAGAATATATTTTCTATCCTCTAAGAAAAAAAAAGTAGGAATAATACACTTTTTTTCTGTTTGTGTTTGGTTGGATGGATGAAAAATGAAAATGACTAATTTTTTTTTGTGCTTGATAAGATGAAAATATATATTTTTTATTTTTTTTTTAATTTAATTTTGAACTTTTTTTAAAAGTATAAATAATATTTTTCCATTGTATTTATATATGAAATTAATGTATATATAATTGATAAATATAATATGTGTATATATCAAAGGATATATAGACAAATAAATACATTACAACACAAATAATTAATTTTCTATCCACTTTCCTTTTAATTTTGGAGGGATTGATTTTGGTGAGTTGGAAAGAAAATTCATTCATCTACTTTTCCATCCTTCTTTCCTATTTTGTTTCCTTACCAAACATGATGTTTTATCTATCCTTCCAAATTTATATCCTTCCAACTTTCCATCTTTTCATTTTTACATCGTACCAAGCAGAGCATAAAAAATATTGATTTTTTGATTATATTCAGAAAAAAATTAACACATAATTTTTTAACAAGACGGTGAATCGGAAATGTCATTAATGCAATAAGGAATTTTGATTTTTTGATTATATCCAAACATTGAACCATATACAAAAAAATCTTCACACGTGACTTTTAACAAGACGGTGACCCAACTTATTTCTACTACAACATTTGATCAAGAATAAAATGGAATTCAAGTTAGGGTTATATTTATACTACTAATAAATCTATATCTATCTATACTACTAATAAAAGTACATTAACATGAAAAACTTTTGATTCACTGTTTTACCCTTATAAAAAATTGCAAATTTTATCTAATGTCTCCAAAGGGACAAAACACTCATTCCACAGCCGTTTTATAAAAAATTGCAAATGTCACTCTATATTTTCATAATTAAGATATATAAATTAAATCTTCAAATTACCTTTAACATCACTTTTAGTGATTTATTTTCTATGTATAAATATCAATTTCTATAAAACTTTTGAATTGACAATATTACTCTTAAAAAAATATACACCATTAAAATTTTCAACAGAGTAATGCAATAAGGAAATAATTTATTGACCTAATTTGATGACTTAATTCACTATGATCTTTGAATTGACTGTGAGCTCCATCAAACATTGAAACTTGGTGTTGATCCAATGGTTTCATTGAAACTATATCATTATGTCAACAAATTAGGACAAATTTTTAGTTCCAAATAGTATTACTCTTTTCCATAAAGAGTTAAAAAAATCTTTGAAAAACTTCCTCAATCTAAACATTTATTCATTTCATATGCAAAGATAACATTGTATCAATGCACATACATGCATATTATAAGTTCATTGAAAAGTTTAACCCTTACATTTTTAGATCAAAAAATAATCATATATATAATTTTTTTAAATCAATTTATGTCACATCAACATAATTCTTCAGTTATAGTAAATTCTCCAAATTGTATTAAGAATTTGTGTAAAAATAAATTACAATATATTTTTAATATGCTTTATAATATATACTATAAAGTAATATATTGAATTTTTTCCAAATATACCTGACTAATTCCTAATTACAGTAAAGTTCTCAATATATTTAATATACTAACAATTATTTTTATTTTATTAAATGAATTATAAGTGAAATCATAATCAAATACATTTCAAAAAAATTTATTTTTCAAACATCAAAAAATACTCCCAATCACAAAATGTTTTTAAAAAAATGAACTCTAACTATTTTTTATTCTTTTTTCTTATAATTAGAATTACAAATCTTGAGAACATACAAAGTTTTCATATAATAAAGTATGAGAGATAAAAAAATAAGTTAGATAAATTTAAGATGATATTTAATTTAGGTGCACATACACTTAATATTTTTTATTTATTTTTGTGTACGAAAACTATTCACATGCAACGCACGTGGTACATTGCTAGTACCATTAAATATACATATATTATATTAGTTATATTACATTGAACCAATGGACATTTGGTTTAATGATACTAAAAAAAAAAAGAAGTTATATTACATTGAAAAATGTTAGGGTTACATATTCACTATACAATTGGTGTATTAATTCAGTAAACTATAAAAATATTTTCACCATATTATACTAAAATTATAAATATTTTGTGTTATTTAGGTGAATGTCAATAAACAAATTGTCGAGGTTATTTTTATGTTATTTTATGCCAATTGTGTTTGTGAACAAACCTTTTTGTGATGTGTATGTTGATCAAAACAAAGAAAATTAATTTCTTTGAAACCCTAGCGAAGAAACAAGTCGAAGTAATGGAAACCACTTATTTGAAATCTTATATTTTAAAATGGCTAGTTGTTGCCCACATGTGTTGCACGTATATTTTTCTTTTTTGTATAAAATATTATATATTAAAGTTGTCGATCACTTTTCTTATTGCAAAAATAAAATAAATAAACATTAACAGTTAAATGGTCAAGATTCATATTTTATTAGAATGTTCTTTCCCTTTAATAGGAAAAAAAATGCTAAAATAATAAAATAGACTTAAAAGACAAACAATATTGATATTTGAATGAAAAGTCTTCCGTTACTATCTAATACATTGATCATTGATGGAAAAAGAATTCATACAGTTTGTATCGGTTTGTAGTGTGAAAAAATGGAGAAAATAAAGAGGTCAAATTGATTGAAAATTAATTCTTAGAACTTAAAGAGTCTGTGAAGTGATTTAAACTTAATTGATAGTTGATTCATATATCAATTAGAAAATTAGTCCCCAAATACGTAGGGTCAAAAATTGAAATTGATTATAATTATGCTAATTATTGAATCATGAATTAAATGAACTTTACTATAATAATCAAGGACATATTTAATAATCAAAAGTTTTTCACTTAATTGTCTTTTATTAGTAGTATAATATAGATTCACTACGACAAAATCTTCCTTTAGGAACAACAGAATAGCAGTTGATTGAAGTTGTACATGATTGTTCTTGGAAATTCAAATTTTTTGTTTTAGCTTGTCAAAGAACAAATGTTTTGGTAAAGGTTCTCTATAAAATCAATTTTTTTTGTGGATCTGTTGCTAGATTTGTACTGAAAAAATTTGAATTAGGAAGGTTTTTGAGTGAATCATTTGGGCGCGATATGATTTTCTGGGAAATGATGTCATTTTTTAGAAGCGACGTTTCACAGTAATTGTCTTAAATTAATAAGGATGTTTTTGTGAACTGTATATTATATGGACTTCTTATCTTAAAAATTTACAGAATAGACCTCTCGCCTTAAAAATATACAACTTTGTAGCTTGTCACCGGTTCTCCTTATAAATATTAATAAAAATATCTTGAAATATCTCAAAATACTTCAAAACAATAAAAATTCTATTCAATGACATATTGGTTTTTTGTTCACTAAAATAAAACGAAATTTTCATCCTTTTATGGTAGGGGGGTGCAATTTGAAGTAAGTCAACCCAAATTCAACTCAAGCCCAACTCAAAAAAAAAAGGGCTTGAGTTCGAATTCTTAATACTTGGATTAGGTTTGAGCAAAAAAATTTCAACTCGAATTGAATTCGGGCAAGCCTCTGATTGAGCCCTCGAGTTGTCAGGTTCAATCTGAATATTAAAATTGGGTTGAACCCAAATATTGAACTAGGGTTAAAATTTATTTTCACTCTTCAGAGTCCATACTTTCACTTCACTTTGAGTCTTCACCATTGCGCCTCTATTACTCTGAAATCCCTCTCCCACTTGTTACTCGTTTTCATCTGTTCTCAGACTCTCAATCTCCCTCTTTCACTCGTCTGAGTCTCGTCTCAGACTCTCAACTCGTCACTCTTCTCTCTTTTATCAATCCAAATTAAGTAACTCGAGTCAAATTTGATTTTCAACTCGAAACCAGCCCAAATTAAATAATTCGAATTCAATCCGAGCTTGCCCAAATTAAATTCGAACAATACTCGAGGTGAGGTCGGATTAGAGTTGAAGATTATATACCTAGGACTAAACTAAAGTTGACTTTTCAACCCGTCCTACCCGCCCAAGTTACGCCCTAACTTTTTATGTAGTGGCAATTGATAGAAACGACATCGTAGTGGTACTGGCACAAAGAGAGACGGCGAGAGACAAATGGTCGACTCAACCCTTGTACCCAGAACAGAAAAACACGAACACAATGCACTCAACTTACTCATAAAAAAGCCGCAGAAGGAACCAACGGTGTTGATAGAACCAAACTCCCATCTCAGTCGTCTCCTCTCTCCCCTCTTCTCCAGCGTCCGATCTCCCCTCTCTCTCTCCTCCTCCACTCCATCTCCATCTCTCTCTCTCGCGCCCAAATACAAATACTCCTCTCTCTCTCACACACAAACCCACCCTATTGGTAAGTCACTCCACTTTTTTTTTCCTCATTTTCATCTCTCTATCTATCTATCTATCTATACTGTACACAATCTTGTCTCTATACATGGCGGAGTTAGGGTTTGGTTGCGGATCGAGAGCTATGGTTGTTCCTTGGATTGATTTTTGGTCCCGCAATTTTTTTGGTGTTTGGTTTCTGTTGACCTAGGGTTTCGGTGACGATGGCCGATGCTCCTGCGAGTCCTGGTGGTGGAAGCCATGAGAGTGGAGACCAGAGTCCCAGGTCGAATGTTAGAGAACAGGATAGGTATCTCCCGATCGCGAATATCAGTCGGATCATGAAGAAGGCGCTTCCGGCGAATGGGAAGATTGCCAAGGATGCGAAGGAGACTGTTCAGGAGTGCGTGTCAGAGTTCATCAGCTTCGTCACCAGCGAGTATGTGTTCACTTTTTTACGTGAATTATTTATATGCATATATGTGCTCTGTTTGATTGAGGACGAGTGTCAAACGTATTTGAATACCGTTTCGGTGGTTGAATGTGCAGGGCGAGTGATAAATGTATTTTCTGCTTAAGCAGTTTCTGTTGTTTTATGAATACGATAATTCATATGCGTACATGTTTGTGTATATGTTCATGTGTATAATTGTTTTCTGGTTGATTTAGCGAGAGAGTGTCAATAATTTAACTGCAGGCTGATAAATTAATGTTTGTGTGTATTTGAGTACGCATGTGACTGCGTTGTGGTTGATTGTATGATGTATAGTTTTTTGGGGTTGAATGTGAAGGGCAAGTGATAAGTGCCAGAGGGAGAAGAGGAAGACGATTAATGGGGATGATCTGTTGTGGGCAATGGCGACTTTAGGTTTCGAAGACTATATTGATCCTCTCAAGGTGTACTTGACGAGATACAGAGAGGTATTTTTTATTCACTTCTATCTTTCTCAATGTGTTTGGACATTTGATTTTTGACTTATATATGTTTTCGGTTAGCATGTCAAACTAATGGATTGGGTTTTTGTTTGGTTCTGTTTTGCATTGGGCGGGCATGTTGCAGATGGAGGTAAGTTAATGTTGTTATTTGAAGTTGTACAATGGTTTGAATGCTGGCTTGTTTGTTGTATTTTCAATTTTTTTCTACTCACCATTGTGATAGGGTGACACCAAGGGATCCGCAAAGGGGGGAGATGGGCCTGCCAAAAAAGATGGGGTACAACCTAGTCCTAATGCTCAGGTACAATGTTGCAGATTTCATGTTATTATGCCCCTCATTCCCCTACTGTATTTCGCTGTTTGTCTGGAGTATAATTTTTCCCTTTCTTGTCACGCTTCTTCTTTTCTGCATTGTTTATAAAGCTCGCCCATCAAGGTTCATTTTCACAAGCTCTGAACTATGGGAATTCTCAGGTAATCTCTCTCTCTCTCTCTCTCTCTCTCTCACACACACACACACATGCCTATGTGTATATACACATGTATATATAAATGTCTCTGTGTGCAAGTGCATATGGTGCATGATACATAGTTATAAGCCCATAACGACTAGCCTTAGATTATGCATGTCAATATCAAGTTGTGATCATACTGTCCATAAGGGTAGTTGTATACTGTGAGTTTTATAGCCCAAAAAAAAAAGGCTTGCAGCATTTAATTTGTGTGCATATTTTAATCAATTGAAGTAAAGTGATGTTCTCTATCCTTTCAAGTTTGTGCAAGTGCTAGAATTGTTTGGGATTTAAACATCAGTATAGGTTATTTATGAGTGCCCCAAATCTGGACTTGCAAATTGCAGTGGTTACTTTCTCCCGCCTTCAAGTTGATTACATTACGTAGTGTTTCTTCATTTTGTTTTCTTTGGTTTGCATTGACTTATCTAATTGTGTACCAGTCAGCATCCCATGCTGCATGGGAACTGTTTCATTTGAGGCTTTCCTTAATGTTTAGTTTATGGTTTCTAATGGCTGCTCGAGAGTTGTGTTTGGTTTTTCCTCTCTCTATCTCTCCTTGTTTGCCCTGTTACCCTGCGTTGGGGGTGGGGGGTTTTGGTTATGCAATCTTCCACAATATTCCTTTTGACTTTTTCTGTGTGATAATGAGTGTGGATAATTTTAGAGTGGAGAATTGTATAAAATCACGATGTTGATTTTGATAGTGAGTTTGGCTCAAATAGCGACCTTCTGGTTTTGTTACTCATCTAGCGACCAGTTTGGATGTTATTTGAAATCCTCTCTTAACCTCCCGCCTCCTGACCTGTCTCCTTACCCTTAAATGTCCAGAATATGCTGGATGATCAAAACTCTGAAGCCATGGCTCTGTCAATACTCAGTGTGTGCATGTGTGTGTGGACACCAGGGGTTTAAATATTGGTCGTTTACAGAGTGGAAATTCGATTGGGGTGTTTATATCCTTACAAGTTACAAAGCTGGTTCAGCCCCATAGCTAATCCATTTTATTCACATTTTCTCTGCAATTTTTGCTTTGAATGGGCTATAACCAAAACATGCAGGTTTCTAGTGGTTGTTTTCTTCTTTTCCATACCACAATTTGGTGTTTTTGATGTCGTCCACAAATAAATCTATGAATCATGTGATCTTGATTGAGATGTTTCGATGGGTAAGTACTGTGAGTGGTTTATGACTTTAGTCTCTGGTGCTTTCAACTGCATTATAATCTATTTCAACCTCTTGAAGTTCTCCCATAAATGCTGTTGTTTTATGAGCAGTAGATTACTATAGAACAAAGAATTTGAAGTCCATGGAATTTTAATACATTTTCAGATCCGTATCCCTGCTTCCAATTGCAACTTACTGCAAATTATGCGTCTTTCATTCCTGCTATTGTCACATTAAAATCTAATTTCTCCTTGATCTTGATGCTACTTGTAGCCACAATCTGTGTCCTTGATCTCATTTCCGTCCTGAACACCCTCTTCTTTCATAATTCTTTTAGGTGTAAAATTAGGTTGGTAAACTCTATTCATACATTCAAAAGGCTACTGAATAATAGAACATGAATATTTTTGAATCTGCCTTTTTAGCGAGTATTGAGTGCTACAAAAGTGCGTGGTGCGATTTCACTTGAGCTTCTGGTGGTGGAGGCATTATGTGCTTCAAACTTTTGGCTTCCTGAAGAAGAGAAGTACAGGCGGATGAATTTTTACACTAGTGAACAGGGCAGTTTTAAAACAAGGCAGTTTAGTTTCTGGAAATTTCCACGGTTAAAGTGGGGGAATCATAGCTTACCTTATTTTACGAAGGTTTTGCCTTCTTGAGGTTAAGGTTCAAGTCTCCCTCCCTCTCTTTTCCCCTTCACCCCAAAAAAAAAAAAAAAAGGCCCTGCAGTGGCAGTCTCAGCACAGTGAAAGGTGGCATGAATTCCAGTGTCCTTAAATGCTGGACATGCATCATGCAAGGGTTCCCTACCCAGGAGAAAATGAAATCGCAATATATATCTAAATTGTTAAATGTATATAGGAGACTGTCATCACTAAACTTGTTTAAATCTTTGCTGAATTTGTTGCAAGTAATGGATTATTTTGATTCCATGATTTTATGACTTGTAGTGTGTCACTGAAGTGGGTGAACCAAATTATTATGATGCTCTTGCTTGGTATCTTGAGTTTGTTGGATCTGATTTGACACTTTAATTATATCTGTTTTGGGAAAATTTGCAGTCGCAAGCTCAGCATATGATGGTGCACATGCAAGGAACAGAGTAGTAGTTGCCTTCTTTGATCGATTCCACCATTAAATTCCTGGTCGTGGTGATCATATGTTTAAATCTCAGGAGACATTCTATAAAATATCTTTCTGATTTAAGCGCTGCATCTATTTGGGTCTATTTTGGTGCTCTAATATGTCCAGCGCTTTATTGTGGTAGAATGTGTATCTTTAGTATGAAAAACTTTTGAATATTTATTTTACCCTTATAATGAATTACAAAGATAATTTTAGCATTTCACAATTAAATATCTAAATTATCATCTTTGGTTTTAAATTTCTAAATTATCTTTAACATATCTTTTAATTATCTATTTATTCTTTATATACAAATATCAATTTCTATAAAAAAATATTGATTGACTATATTACTTTTAAAAAGTATGCAGCATTATATTTTCAATAAAGTGTTTAAAAATTTTTCAAAATTTTTATTAATTTAATATTAATTATCTCATATGTAAAAATAACATTTTGCCTTTATATGTGTATTTTCTCTTTTACTAAAAATTTTAATCATTTCATTTCTAAGTTAAAAAATAATTGTATATATGGTTTTTCTAAAATCAATTTACTTGACATTAGTATAATTTTTTGATCACAATAAATTTTTTAAACTGTATTAAGATTTTAAGTGAAAATAGATATTATCGTATATTTTTAAGTAAAATTTAATTTATTTAGAATTTTAATATACCTGATAATATATATTATAGAGTAGTATATTAAATTCTATCTTAATTCACCTAACCAATTTTTAATTACAATAAAGTTTCAATATAATTATTATATTGATAAATATTTTTATTATATTCAAGGAATTATAGGTGAAATTCTAATAAAATGAATTTTAAAAAATTTAATTTCTCAAAGATCACTAAAAAAACATTATTAATCACAAAATTCTAAAAAAATAGAATTTTAACTATTTTTTAATCTTTTATTTTATACAGTTAAAACAAAGAATTTTAGAAATATATAAATTTTTTATAATTTTACAATAGAATATGAGCAATGAAAAATTAAGTTTATTAAATTTAAAAATTATATATATATATAATAAAATACATATCACCTTGAATTTTTATATTTTACATATTTTTTTCCTTAAAAATGTCATATAACTTATTTTTATTACATGTTTAATCAGTTATANCATATCACCTTGAATTTTTATATTTTACATATTTTTTTCCTTAAAAATGTCATATAACTTATTTTTATTACATGTTTAATCAGTTATATAATTTTTTCCTAAAAATATCACATTATTTATTTCTATCGTATGTTTAATCATTTAATATTTGACTAATTTGTAGTAAATATAATTTTTATTTTAAACATTATTGATATAAGATAGTATATACATACAAATTTAATATAGTGGGATCGATTTTTTGGGTGTTAGAATTATCGTGCCTTCAGATACAGGTTATGACTAGTGTGTGTATATATATATATATATACCTAATATATTTTAATTTTTTTGTATAAAATTATTTATGTGCAACGCACGTGGTGCATTGTTAATTATATATATATAATAAACTATGAAGCACGGATATGGATACGGGATATAAGTACAATACGATACGGATACGGCGATACGACAACAATAAAATATATTTAATATCTTTATTATTTTGAACCAATTTAATACTTATCTATTTTGGTAATTCTTTAATACAATAAAGAAAATTAGTAATTTTTTTTAGTTTTAAGAAAATATATATCGTATTACTATAGTATATTCACAATGTGAAGTGATTAATTAAATGAATCAAAGTTAATATTTATCGAGTCAAGTTTATTTAGAAGTAATTTTTGTTCAGATTATAATGCAGTAGATTTATTTTATGCTATTTTGAGTTGTAATTGTAGATAATATTTAAAAAATACTCATGTGTTTTTGAAATAGTATGAATTTTTGTTAATATATTTTATGATGTGTTAATTTGAAAGGAAATGTTAAAAATTGAACCCAAAAATTATATATGTTGTTTGAATATAAAAATATTTGTAAAGTATCCTAATATTTAAATATTATCGGATACGTAAGAAGTGTATCTAATATGTATCTCGAATATCCAACAAGTTTCATATTTGATACGAGTACGTCGATTTCAACGAAGTATCTGTATTTCATAGATAACTAATATATTTTATTTTTTTGTATAAAATTATTTATGTGTAACGTACGTGCTGCATTGCTGGTTATTGAAGATGTTATTTGTAGTATATTCGCTCAATGGTCATTTTCATATCTAAAAACGGGGTGTTTGGTTCTTTCTTTGGTATTTTCAGACTACGGGGGCTATTTAGATGTAGGTCAGACCCCATGTNCATATCACCTTGAATTTTTATATTTTACATATTTTTTTCCTTAAAAATGTCATATCACTTATTTTTATTACATGTTTAATCAGTTATATAATTTTTTCTTAAAAATATCATATTATTCANTTTTACATATTTTTTTCCTTAAAAATGTCATATCACTTATTTTTATTACATGTTTAATCAGTTATATAATTTTTTCTTAAAAATATCATATTATTCATTTCTATCGTATGTTTAATCATTTAATATTTGACTAATTTGTAGTAAATATAATTTTTATTTTAAACATTATTGATATAAGATAGTATATACATGTTGAAAAAATTTAATATAGTGGGATTGATTTTTTGGGTGCTAGAATTATCGTGCCTTCAGATACAGGTTATGACTAGTGTGTGTATATATATATTAGGTATATATATATATATATACCTAATATATTTTAATTTTTTTGTATAAAATTATTTATGTGCAACGCACGTGGTGCATTTTTAATTATATATATATAATAAACTATGAAGCACAGATATGGATACGGCGATACGACAACAATAAAATATATTTAATATCTTTATTATTTTGAACCAATTTAATACTTATCTATTTTGGTAATGCTTTAATACAATAAAGAAAATTAGTAATTTTTTTTAGTTTTAAGAAAATATATATCGTATTACTATAGTATATTCACAATGTGAAGTGATTAATTAAATGAATCAAAGTTAATATTTATCGAGTCAAGTTTATTTAGAAGTAATTTTTGTTCAGATTATAATGCAGTAGATTTATTTTATGCTATTTTGAGTTGTAATTGTAGATAATATTTAAAAAATACTCATGTGTTTTTGAAATAGTATGAATTTTTGTTAATATATTTTATGATGTGTTAATTTGAAAGGAAATGTTAAAAATTTAATCCAAAAATTATATATGTTGTTTGAATATAAAAGTATTTGTAAAGTATCCTAATATTTAAATATTATCGGATACGTAGGAGGTGTATCTAATATGTATTCTCGAATATCCGACAAGTTTCATATTTGATACGAGTATGTCGATCTCAACGAAGTATCTGTATTTCATAGATAACTAATATATTTTATTTTTTTGTATAAAATTATTTATGTCTAACGTACGTGCTGCATTGCTGGTTATTGAAGATGTTATTTGTAGTATATTCGCTCAATGGTCATTTTCATATCTGAAAACGGGGTGTTTGGTTTTTTCTTTGGTATTTTCAGACTACGGGGGCTATTTAGATGTAGGTCAGACCCCATGTAATTTGTTAGTCATTGTGTTTGGCAGCTTGTGATTGTCATTTTATGAAATATTTAAGGTTAAATTTCACTTGGATCCTTTGAGTTTTGTCAAAATAACACATCGATTCCTTTATTTTTTAAAAAAACGACATGATACTAATTTGAATATTTTAAATTGTACAGTAAGTAATTTATACTTGATCAAAATTTAAACTAGATGGATTGAATTGGATTTATGAAAATTTTAAAATTCAATCCATAGGTTTTGTATATGGAATTAAACAATATATCATATGTAATCTCATATTCGGTAAATGACATAGATACATATAGGATTTACAGATTAATCACAAATATTATAAAATATTTGTTATTGACGAGCTCAAATTTAATTGGGTCAAACCCAATTAATGAGTTAGTCTCAAATCAGCGACAAAGGTGGATCAAGTCCAATTTATGAATTTGGCCCAGTCCAAAGTTCAAGGAGTCCAAAAGGATTAGAGTATATGGAGAGTAATTATTGAGATATTTACTCTCAAAAATTAAGACAATCTTTAATTGTACTTATTTTTTGTAGCTATCATTTCCAAAGGACTAGTGCATTTACCTTTACGTCATTATCTCAACTAAGACTTTGTGCCTATAAATTGTAAACCCTCTCCATACGACAGAGCACTTTTCTGCATCTCTACACCTCTCTATATACACCACACATAGCTTTTCTCTCTCTTAACTATTGTATCTTTTTCGGGACTCTCTCTTTCATTCATTTACTTAATCAATAAAAGGTCATTTGGTCACTATTGTCGTTTTTCGAAGTGGAGTAGGTCATCTGAACTGAATTACTATATATTTGTGTGCTGACCCAATATTTATATTATTATCATTAATTACTCTATTAATTGTCCATTAATTACACTTTATCACAAATTTGATTGTTGATTATGCATAATCTATTTTTGTGCATCATTAGTTTGACATCGTCTGTGAGAATCAATTTGATTCTCTCATTGTAGTCTTCCTACCCCCAATGACAAAAACAACCAGATTCATGAACCACCAAGCGGCAGATGATCCACCATATTATGACGATTATCGGCAAAAAGTAGACACATGCAAAATTTACTTTTTCATTAATTTGGGGTTAAAAACTCAAATTCTATTTAAAGAAGCATTTTTTGAAAAAATTTGGTGCTCATGAAAAAACTTGAAAGAATACCCTAATTTTTTAAAAAAATTCGCCTCAAATGGTTAACCAAACGCAAAGTTATGGTTGTCTGAAGTTTTGTTGTTTTTTCATTATTGTTTAGTACTCCACCTAGTGGTCAGTGTCAGCACCCAACAATCAGTACCCAACGCCAACGCCCAACAGTCAATGCTCAGTGCCAGTGTCTAGCGAT